ATTGGTCTTGTCACATCAAAGAAGTTAAGTGACTGAGCTTTAATTTGGAAATATTTGAAATACACAACTTATAGGCATGTATAACATTGCTAGGCTTAAAGATCCATGTGAGCTGTACAGGCCCTATGGGCATCTCATTCTTGCTGAAGTTGGATCCAGTTGGGGATTTAGTTTTTATTATACTTGTCAAATCAAAGAGAGAGTGGGCTTATTGTTAGATTATTGAAATGGCCTGATGATTGTTTATGGAAATATTTCCAAAAGATGGATGGAACAGATGTGTAAGAGCCAATTAAGTATTCTCCAACATAAATCTGTTTTTAAAATGAATCATATGCAGTTTCTAATGTGACCAGATACAACTGTGATTAGCTGGTTATGCAAAATATGGCCAATATTACATATCATGAAAGGTTTCAATTAAAGTTTTTTCACTGCTTTTTTGAGTCCCGTTATCCTATTGAATTCTAGTGTAAATTTTCAATTTCTAGTGAAATATTTCAAGCCGTTTCAGCCTAACAATACAAAAAGGGAAAGCTGTTGATTGTAGTCAAAACTTCACATATACTTATGAGATGATTCAATCTAAATTTACTGTCAATTACTTCATTGGAAATCAACTCCTACAAACAGCTGAACATATACTAATAGCTAAAAGAAAATGTATTTCAACTGATTTATTTGTGAATTCACATGCAAAATAATTTGTTACATTTAGTACCAAATCTTTCTTTCCAATGGATTATCTTTATGATAGAAGAGTGAATCAGAGAGACGATCAATCAGGATTGAAAGAGGTATGGCATGTTACTGCCTGATTCAACCTAGATGTGACAAACAGTTAAATGAATAAATGGAATTTTCTATTGCGATGAATTCGGATAAGTAATCTAAATGATCTTTATCCAAATACCAGTTACTAGAAAATATATCTTGGATATGTGTCATGTATCATTTTTAACAGATCGTGAAATTTGCTACCTAAAGCAATATGTACTAAAACATGGGTGTTTCCCCGGCTTCAAATGCAATTTTCAACACTCAATGAACACATGTACGAACTTTTGGGCAACTGAACCTAATCCAGTGTGATCAGATGCAACTTTAATCACATCTTTGAAAAATCGTACAAGTGTGCGCTGATGCTTAAAATTGAAAAATCAAATTGGACCAAAAAAGTTAAGCGCTTATGCTTTCAACATTGAATTTGTTATTAAAATGTCGCCGATTTCTTCATCCGTGTCTGTTGCACAGATGGTAACTTACGGGGTCACACGTTCGATCTCAGCAGCTAGCACCATATATATATATATATATATGTGTGTGTTTTCAATAAACATTTTAAATTTACTAATTCTTGTTGCGAGTGTTGTTTAACTGAATTATTCATATTCAGATGCATTTCGGCAGTTACTGGTCAAAACCCAAATGCAGCCGATGAGTAGCATGATAGTACTAGTAACATAGAGTCCTATTTCATAGTGTTGGAGACATGGTAGAATGTCATTTTAATGTTCAATGTAACTTCGGGATTGTAAAAGGTCATATAATTATTATTAATGATTGTTTTGCCTTTTTCTGTATATTTACTAGCTGTAATTGAAATATCGCCAGCGACATACTTGGTAAACACACCACTTTCTGGACGGATATGGTCTATATTTAGACACGATGACTCCGAATACACGTTTACCTGTCATCATTAGCAGGGACGTACCTGTCATTAGTCATGTATTTTTAGATCGACCAAGGCGATGAACTGAAATAGGAGATCCGACACAGTAAAGCGCCATACCTCTGTATAGTCACATGTTAAGAATATGCCCACCATTCGCAATGACGCATGCCACACATCTATTACACATGGCAGTAGAAAAATTACGCATATGCCTGACAATGTGTAACGGAAAGCGTCCACCGTCGCCGGATGGTTTGGCTCCTGACGCAGACGTCGCTTTATTTCATCCCAACGTGCACGACTGGAGACAAATCTGGTGACAGCAGGTGATGTTTTGCTGATGTATGAGGTCGTGCGTTGATCTACTGCAAAAATATGGTGTGCTTAATATTGCGTATAAATGGAAATTGATGACGTGAAATTTCGTCATGGTAGCATACACGTCGCCTCGGTTATATCCAAGGGGTCCCTCAATCCGTTGTGATGCTATACACCAATACTTAAATCTCTCCGCAGAACTAACGACGCAGGTGTTGTCCCCTAACATTCATGGCAAAATCCTCTCCAAAAAAAGTCTTATACAGTGCACTGTCCATTAACGCAAGAACATTTGACTATTCGTCTAAGTATGCGTTGCGTAGGTTCAAAACTAAAAAGAAAACGGTGACCATTTAAGCGAACGAATTCAACGTTTAAAGTACTACTTGCAAGGGTTTTTATACATGTACTTTCAAATATATATTTTTTTAAATTGCCGATGAATTGATTTTTCTATTAATCAATTTATTTATCTATTCTTTTTAGGAAACTTTCTTTTTTTCGTTAATATATACAAAATGTAAAAACAGAGAGTACAACAGGATGATTGTCCTGGGAATTTACGGTCATTAATAAGCAGCCATTTCACAGATAGTTACGGAAATCTGGTAATTATCTTTTCGTTTGCATTAGCTGTTTGTTTGGATGTTTGAGTCCATCAGCTAAGGCAATAAAGGGATTATAGCTAAGTCTTAGACCACGGACATTTGGTAAATATGTGGAAGAAATATTGACAATAACAAGTACGTTACAATAATTTTACTTAACCAAAAGCTGAACGTAATTATCAAAACACCGTTAAAGTGCATGTTTACCAACAATTTGTTGTCAAGTCTGTATTAGGATAACAGGAACTGCTCTGCATAAACATGGAATATTGATATATAAATGTAGGTTACAGTCTAATTAAATCCAATCTGTATTATTGACGCAATATGTCAACAACAGCAATAAAAGGGACATCTAATCATAGCTAGTTACACGGGCATATTTCTGACTCCCTATCCGTTAAACATTGGTAGATTTGATCTAGGCTACAGTACATGTATAATTTAGAATAAGCAAAAGTATTGTGGTTCCACATACATTATACATGTATATATGTGTATGCCGGATGTTTTGCACGTGATGAATATTTTTTTACAATAAATAAAGGCATTATGGTGGAAAACATCAAACACCTTTCGCAAATCATACCTTATAACATAGTCATACAAAATTTAGAAGCAAATACTTTGACCAAAAAAAAAAAAAAAAAAACCAAGAAAAACCAGATAATTAACATCTTTAAAATGTTAAACGGTAGAGCTCCTTCATAACTTATTTTTAGGTGCCGATGGCTTTTTAACCAATTATTATAAAATATTCAGGAAGCTTACATAACTTTAACTGTTTTCTCGTTTGATAACAATTTTGTTAAATGTCCCCTGCCTCTCAGACTATTCGAGACAGTCTGGTGATACATGACACGTATATGGCTCGTGTATTGACTAGGCCCTCAGTGTTCAAATGGGTGAGCACAAATACATTTCAAATGACGACATTTGTAACCAAATATATCTGCATAACAATTGATTATGCAGCTACACATCCACTGACAGGGTATCACATTTTCTGAGGTCTTTATATGGATGCATGTGTGTCATCTACAATTCTGCTTAATATTTCATATGTTCAACTCTGTGTGATTCTTATATTTTATACAGGGCCATTTCAAATCACGAAAAAAAAAAAAACGCTCAGTAAACCAGATATTAACTCCATTAAATATGTCTCGATTGAAGCCGACCTTGTCTATGCTATTCGACAGATGTATTTTAAAAGGGAAGTCAGACGTTGGTAAATATTAAAACACAATTGTCAAGAAATGATTAAGTCACCAGGACACGCCCATATGACCTAATGTGTATAACTGCTGTAGTAGCGTGTATTATTAAGTACTAACTGTTCGATATTTCGGTTAATACTCTGCCATGAGTTTTATAACATAAAGTCGACACTCGAATGTTTCCTTCTAAAACCGTCTAATGACATTCTGTACAGAACAGAGTATATTCAGGTGGGGGAAATATCGCATATATTGTAACATCACGAAATCACAGACTTTAAACCAGTGTTAACATATCTAACAATACTAATTAAACGACCAACAGAAACAAATTGTACCAAACTTCAAAACTTTACTAACTTGATCAACAACAAAATACTTTACAAAAGAACTTTAGCTACGGCCAATGTAACAAACACGTGCATTTATATGGTACATGTAATTGTTTACGGAATAATCATTCACTACTTCAGCTTATAAATACAAAAAAATTAGGTTTTACATTGAAAATTGTCTAGAAAAGATATAATTGCTAATAATTTCCGTTATTTTTTAGACATTTTGTACGTGGAGTATATAACATGCGTAACTATCTGTAACTCCGTGCCTTTTATTACAACTTAACAGGAGAATGATTACGAATTTGGATTGCCTTTTTACTTAATTAACGAACACGAAACTGTTCACAAAATGTGAATTTCGGCTTTTAGCTTTGGTGTGAAGCTAATACAGATAATAAACACAATAGATATGAACTTCTATAATTCCTGCATAATTAGAGACATTGAGTCTAAATACCCGGGGTTTAACGAAAAGTCTAAATACCCGGGGTTTAACGAAATGTCTAAATACCCGGGGTTTAACGAAAAATCTAAATACCCGGGGTTTAACGAAAAGTTTAAATACCCGGGGTTTAACGAAAAGTCTAAACACCCGGGGTGTAACGAAAAGTCTAAATACTCGGGGTTTAACGAAAAGTCTAAACACCCGGGGTGTAACGAAAAGTCTAAACACCCTGGGTTTAACGAAAAATCTAAATACCCGGGGTTTAACGAAAAGTCTAAATACCCGGGGTTTAACGAAAAGTCTTAACACCCGGGGTTTAACGAAAAGTCTAAATACCCGGGATTTAACGATATCCACGGTCCAAGTCCCTGTGATATTACATATCGGGTAAAGAGCGCCAGATAAAAATAAAAGAATAAAAAAAATATATAAAAATTCTATTTTAAAAGATGAAGCAATAACTTTCCTGAGTATATCAATAAACACGAAAAAAAAGTGATACCGTCGACAGAACTGATTGAATATGATACAATTTTCACATATATAATAAACATCTTTCAAGCATAAAATTATTCTTTCAAATATTTTTCTATCAAAGTCTCCAGAATAATCACCTTCAAAATCCGACGGTACAGCTCTCGATATTAACATTTTCTTTTTGCCTTTGCGATGTCTGGTCACAATCGAATAAGCTTATCGCGGTTACTGATCGGATTTGTTAGGTTCAAAACATGAAGACACTGACTAAGCGCTGAGCTGATCATTTTTTGTCTGTATGTGTGCGATTCTTTTTAATATGTGTCAATGAGATCAAAAATACATCTGAAACGAAACATCACATCTGGATTTCAAAAACCACGGCCCTTATTTCGTCAGCCCTTTAATCCTCGCCCCTCAGAGTACTAGTATTTAACTCTTGTCAGTGATGACTTCAACTACTTCTCTGATATGCGAGTGTGAATATCCCATCCGAGGAATGAAGGTAAAAGACATTTTTAGTGACGCCATTCAGCTGTATCGCCGTTGCTAATTGCTATATATTTTTTAAACTTTTAACTTTTTTGAATAAGCATAATATTTTTCCAAAAGTGTATCCATGTAGGTAAAGAATGGTTGGTAATGTGTTGTCCCTTTGAAATGATGAGCCATGTGAGCGGCAGGTCCTCCCATCAGATTGAACGGCACTATTCTATGAATTCCGAATGGAAAATCATACCCGGTATGGTTATCTACCAAAAGAAAAATAAATACGGGCACAAACAACATTCTTGTAAAGGGATGGCTTCCCATGAATCTAAGCGCGTAGTTCGCGGCCAAAATCAGAGTTATCCGTTCTTGGACCGTCAGCAAATTTGTCACGCGACCATGCATGACATCATGTTTGTGATGCAACGCATGCACTGTCTTGTACAGCCATGCATTTTTGTGAAACAGCAGATGGAAACAGAAAAACATGAAATCAAACAATAAGACACTGGTTATGAGTTGAAAGCATACTTGTCCGACGGTTGGTGGGGCAATCGGAAGTGGTCGTGTCGTCTGAATGAAACTCAGACGTTTTTGCGCCATGATGGACGGGTGTACTCCTACGTATTTCTTAATTGTGAACGTGTCTAGTAGCATTAAAGGAGTTAGGTATATAACGGCCTCCACGAGTATGTCCTTCGTTGTTGTGTGTACATACGTCACCGAAGGATGTACCTTGTACCTGTCCAAAAATGTCATGTAATGCAAGGCATACGGATAAATCGGGATCATCACCGCATAGGTCAACGTTGCATGCCAAGATTCAAAATACACCGAGTTGAAAGTCCATGTCGACAGCAGATAACCCCAAGCATTGTCCAACCATGTCTGTAGTGTATCCAAATTCATTATAGAAACACAAACCAAAACTGCGATCATAGCTCTAATTATCCACGGGACACTGCGGTCCCATCCTTCCAATGACCGCGTCTTCACCTCTGACATTGCATCCCTATTAGGAACTGCCTTCATTTCTTCCATCTGTAAAAAGACATGGAGAAAACCGAGTGTAGCAATATGCTAACAAAAACATAATTCCTACTTTTTCATTTCCAAAATTAAAATTTAAGAAAAGATGCAAATACTGTGAAAGCTATATTAAATAGTTAATTTTCCGGACATTTAATAATTTTCTTTAATGCATTACAATTTTTAGATTGATATAAAGTATGACGTTTTTGTGATAGAAATAATGGTATCGAAACTTTACTGAAAGTGGTCAAACACAATATGTAACTCACTAATATGGACATCCAGATTTTATATATCGTTAGGACACCAGATACATGTGTGAAGTGCAAAACTCTTGACATATTTTTATTGTGTGAAGATTTTGCATCAAGAAATAATTTCATGTAACGACATCATGATTTAATAAAATGATTCCTATTTCTCCTCTTGTGCTCCGTTCGTCTAATGTCTGAGGTGTTCAAGAAACTATTATTTGTTAGCATGCTATCATATTAGGCCAAAACCAATGTTTTCTTTCTCAAGAGGTAGACTTTCAGATACTGATCCATGCATTTCAGATAAACTTCCTCCCCGTGTAGTAAATATCATATGTACAATTTCGTAATTCTATTATTACACTTAACTGATATGTATGTACTCATTTTTCTTACAAAATAAGCACATTGCAATACAGTGCCATACTGGTGATGTTTTTTTTCCGGACAACATTTTCGATGATGAATTCACTAGATAGATAAAATGACATCGGATGGACGACACAACCAAACTTTGGAGTGTAAGGTCAGTTGAGGATCTGATGTTTATTCTTGACGAAGAAACTCTGATTTCTTGTGTCGGAACAATTATTTAGATGTTCGGAAAAATCCATAAATCCCGGAAATTACTATGTACAAAATTATGATTTTATCAAACGATCACTAAAGGTTTCCTTGATTAAGAGATATAACCGATAATTCTCTAAGGAACAAACTCGTACTAAAATCAATACATAAAATATGCCGGTCGGTTGGACATACGATCAGGCCTAATAACAATGATTAGTATCATCATTAACAACAATTCTGAATGTACATCTAGTTTGTCCAATATAGCATACCTGTTGATTGTTGTCTACCATGTTTGCAAAGCACCCCACCATCAGAAACAACAGAAGCAGGATAGTTTGGGTCTACAACATCAGCCTGAAAGAGACGATAATTTGACAAAATATGTTATCTGTAGCGAGCTTTGACTTTTTCTGAAGGTATCAACTCGTCACATAGTAGTGTGTAGCCCGAGGAAACTAAACTAAACATACAGTAGATACAGCCCATAGCCTATCTACGGTAACAAGCTTTGTATGATCAATACTCCAGTTGAAGTATAATGGTAATGTTTGTACTAAACGTCTCCCGTTCACATATTGTTTATATCATAGGTACGCCTCGAGCACCCGTGAAATGTATGCAGTCATGTCTGCATGTCATTTTAACATAAAATCGTGTTCATTCGAAATGATTAAATGAATTCCCCACGATTGGACGTACAAAGACATATAGAATATATTTTTTAGTTTAAATAACGACACGAATAAAAAAAAATTAACGATCACGAACTACATAATATCACCTGTCGGAATCCGAGTCATGATTCGAGGTGGCATTATACATACCAAATTAACATCCTGTATCATCGATGATTAACGATTTACTGAATACAGCTTGTCTAACAAGTAATTACACGGATGTTCTTACAAAGTGTTTTTGTCGTGGCAGATTGTCGCTGCGAAATAACACTATCCGGTAAACCGCAGAGTACCGTGATATACGGGGATTATGAGCTGCTGCACGGCTAATCCGAGATATTAGATATTATCATAACGATAAAATAAAACAGAAATCATGTACACGTTCATGTGATGTATTGTAAACAGTGTAACAGAATATCGAAACTCCAGGTAAGACATACTTGTTCTCCATTATCATAGTACTCGTGACATTATTTTATTTTTTCAACAATACAAATCTAAACATAATGTTCAGGAGTTCGTTATCAAATATAGGATTTCATTTGGATTTCCAGTGCATATTTGCTTTAAAATATGAAACGAGTCTTTGGATTTTTTTGTGAGCCTTTGGCGGGCTAAAATAGAAAAAAAAAACAGTGACGAATTTTATAAATCTGAATCGCACATCAAATAGAATCTCATGTACGATCCTTCATCACATGATCGACTTTTCAGACAAACATGGTAGAAAACGATTTCGACTCGATATCTGTAGTCACACGGCAATTAGTGTATGACATCATTTCATTATCTAAACTTTCTCATGTCACAACAGCATTACGTACGTAAAGTATTACACAAGTATATTCACTAGTTAACATGGCAATCATATGTTAATGAAAGAAACTTGTCTATATGGGAATTATTTCAGATGTATTTTTACATTAGTTACGTTTTCGATGTTGTACTGCTTGACTACCCCGCAAGGTAAAACCACTTACAGCTAGTGACCTGTCGTCGGCGGCCAACCAACTGTTATTGGAAGAAAAACCAATGCAAATGAAAAGTAGTATTGTATTATTTATAAAATTGATTTAGTATCGAGTTGCACGACGGTTTAGTGTTGTTTTTTCTCTCCCATATTCAGTCAGACACTTGCACACACCTGCCCATGCTAATGTGCAACGAAGATTATTGCTTATGTTTGAGTGAATGAATAAATTCAAATGCTCTAGGTTATTTTTTCTTTATTCCTCGTTGCGAGTTGGTAAAAGCAAGCGAAGATCCTGTGATAGTAAATTACGGATCGTTGCCCATGCTACATGATACTATCTGAATTATTGAGAAGCAACCTGAAACTACTACGTTTGCGCCTTCTTTCAGTGGAACGCGTCCTCAACTACATACACGTGGGACTCGACGCTCAACAGGGGCACAAATCAAGGGAAAAATGATATCTTTGAAATTCAGTCATTTTTTCATATTATTTCTTTTATTATTTAAGAAGAATTTTTATTAAAGGGATTGGCACAGGATTTACAACTTATACAAAAGTCATTTCCCTACAATAAATCACACCCACACATATAAGCAAAACTGAAGATAGCATATTTACAACCACAATATTACATTACTTCATACTCTCATACAATCACACCCACACACGCATTCAGAGAGAGAGAGAGATAGAAAGAGAGAGAGAGAGAGAGAGGGGGGGGTCTAAAACCTGTATCCTCTGAAGCAAATTCACAGTATGAGGAATGTAAATATTAAGGTCATGAAAGAGTGTAATTCTGTGTTCTGAATAATAATTACTATATCAGTATTTTCGATAGGTAGTACAACTGACAAAGTCGGTCAGTCACAAGGTTGCCTCTAATTTAAGCGATTTCTGAATGTACTAGCACATTTGCTTCATCTGGCGTGCAAGATATCATTTTCCGTCAACATATAGAAACAAGTTATGTAGATTGAATCTTTGTTACGTATAGCATTTCTGAAAACAGAAAATGAGACAGTATGCCTAATATCCAGTGGTGATTAATTCCATTGTCTTATGATAGAGGGGGATATGATTTACAATTCTAATCTGTTATTAGGTAAAATATAGTTTTCTGCATTGCGGTGACTGTGTTGAGAATGATCAGCAACAAGGAGAGGAAGTAAAGTATTTAGATATTAAGTAGTAATATTATTGTGTATTTGAAGTTTTCGATGAGCTCGCTGATGGGATAAGGGTTCCCAACCCGTTTCAGTATAAAGCGATTTTCTGCTTTATAAAAGGGATAATAAGGCTAGCTTCGAGTTGTAATTTTTCTAAACTTTCTGCCTCGGCAAAACAACCATCCTAAAGTTCACAGCAATATTCAAGGGCTAGACGAATAAAAGATTTATATATTCCATTTAATGTATTTCTGTTAAGGGTAAATTTTGATTTACGAATGACACCTTATCACCCTTATCAATGTTTAAGGCCTTTAGTACGCCCAGGGATGTATATACGTCCATTGTAAGTCCATGATGCCACTTATGTTAAACGGTATGTCAGAAATTCAAGAGTCAAACTTAATTCTACAGTCGGCATGCCGGTCTCAGCATCAGATATAGAAACAAAGTAGTCATTCTGTGATTGAACATTTGACGGGTCATTACCCTTGCTACATGATACAATCAAGTAATTCCACATTATTGTAGTAATGTGATACTACTACTCCGTACATGGGACGTGACTTCAACTACATACATGTAGTAACACCGAGATTAAACTCTTTGTAGGGACACAACTTATCGATACAAATAACTTTGAAATTTAGCTATTCTTTCATTTTATATTATCTAACTATTAAAATATATACATTTATTCTAATATAAATACTTCAAACCGACTGCTCTTTGTACTGCCACAAATAATTACACCTTACATAAACGTGGTTCCAATGGTTAAAAAGGCGTGTAATGTATATAAATATATTGTGACATGAAATATGTATTCGTAATCAGTAAATAAAATCCGTTATATTGATTTTTAAAAAAGAAATATTAAGAAACGACAACAATTCAATCATTTGCACGTGTTTATATCATATAAGCTCCACCTACTCCTTTTGGTATAGAGTAAGGTAGACAATACTAACTGCCTCTGTTCAATACGACTTTTCTCCGCTACATTGCGCTTATTGATAACTAACCCTGGCCCCGACAACCCTGGCCCGACAAAACTGGACCCAATAACCCTGGCCCGCGTAAATATTGATTGCATTTTTCAGTAAATGTTTTATTCACAGTTGTCTATAAAATAGAAATCGTCAATCATTTGTGATGGTAATTTATGCAAATATTATCCACTTTGCATTGTCATAGTTAGATACTAAATTCTGTCCTTAAGTCCAAACCACTAGCTGAATAATACACATGATCATTATCATATGTACTTATACATGTATATGCAAATCTTCAAAGAGCCTTCTAGTGTTCCCGGAGTGTTAGCGGTATCCCGAATACACTTCGAGCATGTAGCATTTATGTGATCAAGTAATCGGGCCACAGTTAAAGACTGTTACGTCTCGCCTATAACAATAGTTCGATGATGAACGAAATTGTCAAAATGAAGTTGATTCTTAAGAAATATTTAAGTAAAAAAAGTTGAAGTAAAGATATTTGGCATATCTTGAAGGCATTAGACATAAACATACAGAGAGAGAGAGAAGTTCGGTAACTCTAGAATTCGTCAGGTTATATCGCCTATTTAAAGCTCTGTAACTACCATCATCTACGTATTTCGGGGTATTTTACAGCAGAGATCGACAACAGAAGACATAGATATTGGCAAGCATTGTGTTATTTTGTTGAACTCTTACCTTGCCACTCTAAGAAAGCAAGAGTGATCCCAAGGCCAGTAACTCTGCATACATTATTAATGACTATCTGAATGTAGCAAGTGACCCACATAAGGCTCGTGAAATTAACTGACCGATAATTATTATCATTGATGTCAGTTTATCATTATACTTATAATTGATTGGATATTCTACCAGTAATTAGCAGTAGTAGTAGTAGTAGTAGTAGTAAGTATGAATGGATGAGATAACATGATATATCTTATTATTGCAGTATAGACAGTTCTGAACTGGACAAATTCAGCTGTTGAACTTCTCAGAGAACACAGTTAACAAATATGCAATGTATCTTGCAATCATGCGAGAAAAAGCTATGCAGCTTTACTACCATTGAAACTTGTGAACGGGAAAACTTGAGTTAATATATACATACTTTAATGAATCTTAGTATGCAGTCTTATATCAATTTAATATCATATGATTTCGACCATCTTACCGAGTCATGTGTAATTACAGATGTTATGGCTCTTTACAGTTTTATTAACGTGGACCTTGTGAACACGATAACTTAGATAAAATATTAACATCTTTTAATGAAATTTGGTATCTGGCTTTACATCAATAATATTTCGGGCCGTTTCGATCGTAATATAAAGAGTACCTTTACAGCTTTATTAATATTGAACCTTGCGAATATGATAACTTAAGACCTCGAATAAGTTAGACAATAGAACAGATTCAATTTTAACTTACATAGTTAAGCTCTTTGTTATTTTATTACTTTTTGGCCTTGTGAACACGAAGACTTAATTAGGTAAGTATGAACAGATTTTTTATTTTTTTTAAGTATGAAGTCTCGTATAGTCAAGATCTCGGATGAGTTCGGCTGTGGGACTGATTCAATTTTAACTCACATAGTTGAGCTGTTCTTAATTTCATTTCTATTGGACCATTTGAAAACGATAACTTGAGTAAATATTAACAAATTTTAATTATACTTTGTATACAGTCTTGCATTTTTAAAATCTCGAAAGAGCTGAAAGTGGGAGCGATTTGAACATAACTTTTAGCGTTTTGACTCTTTGAAATCTAATTTGAGTTGAGACGAGTCAGGTGACCGTTTAGACACACTTGTGTCTTTTTTAAATTTGCTATCATTGATTTTTAGTTTATGTGGAATTGTCAAAAATGATAAACGTCGGAATTGGTACCTATTTTTAGATAACTAATTCCTCCCCAGGTGTCTGTTACGAAAATATGTTCTGTCGTCTATCATAGCAGTGAAATAATGAACACTTGCATATAACGGATGAATGAATACACGAAACGAATACAAGTTCATTTAAGACATCGTTAACACAATACCGCATCCTATTTATCAAACACCCGTTCAGTATAGACACGCCAGCAAGCGTATAACTATATATTTAGTATCTAAGTGCAAGTATATATATATTGTGACAGTTCAAAATTTTAACGGCATTTAAAAGAAATTAAAACACCAGTTACCATATAATTTACATTGATTAATTGATCACAGCATTCCGACTTGGCGACTATGGGCTTCATTATAGCATATAGATATTTATTTACATCCAGTGCAAACTCATAATGTCGATATTGTTATCAATATCCAATGCACAAGAGAGACGCGGTATGATACAAAGTATATGTTTTTAAATGGTTCAGAAACACACAAATATACACACACAGCACACACACACACACACACACACACGGCTTGTATAAGCATATAAAACTAGGTTTGTACAGGAGGACGTTGGTAATTAAAAGCTTGGTAACTGGTTACGGAACATCCAGGTGATACAAATCACATCATATTGAACTCAGTTCCCAGTAAAGAAAATTTCGAAATCACATACCTGTTGTTTAGTTCTCTCAACCGGCGAGCAGGTAACAATACCCGGCTTTGGAGTATTTTTCTAAAAATAGTAATAGTTTCACCAGATGCCCCGCCTTCACACTGAAAACGATGCGTGGAACGTGTGCTATGACTGAATCAATATACACATGTATAGTGGACACGTGTACGTACACACCTTTTTCAATATCAACGTCCTAGTAGACATTCGTAAACAGCAAGCTCTACAACACAATGTTCGACACTGTATCGATGCGTTAGTATATAACCACTTCCGGGTCTAGAACGTCTTACTGCATGCACTTCAGTACTGTTTAGCTGATGACTGCACATTTACATGCATAGCGTGGAATACACATATATATCAGAATATATATCAGATAGTGTCCAGTATATGTGCACTGATTTCTATTTAACTAGAGTCCTTGGGTACAATAAACCTGTAATCGATTAATATAATCAACGATTAAAAACTATAGTGTGACAACAACACATTTAATGTATAGGCCTACATTCCTAACATTTTCAGGGTGGCCTTATTGTTTACTTTTAGAAAATAATATTGTCATATACGTATATAACATTAAGTGGTCTGAACGATATGGAAAACACACAATGATCACATTAATTACCATTCATCGTTTGTCACCAGATTTTAATGCTGCAATCTTCTCTAAATGTAAAATTAGCAGTGACTGTTTGGCGTGCACTAACATTACGGCACGTCTAATGAAGAAATACGGTAAAACACCAAACGAACTATAGATGAGAAATGTATCTGATATTGCTATAACAAATATTTATCACTTTGTTGTTGAGTAAAGTATTAATGGTTCAGAGTAATTTATCGTTGAGGTTTCAAAATCGGTACCACAAAAGCAAAATGTCTTACACACCAATACGCCCCTGAAAGCTTGGTGGCTACATATAGACAAAATAAAGAGAAAAAAACTGTAGTACTGCTAGGGTTTTCAGATTATACAAAAGTATTAAGTGGTATTCTGATAAGATGCTGAAGCAAGTTTCTAAGCATTACAACATAGATATAGCTACTATACTGCAGATGTGTCACTCGTATATGCAGTGTTTTTATCACCATGTAAAAATACGTTGATGTGTGTGATGCATATGTACAGTAGCTACATATAGATGTGACATTTTGATCGAGTGTTTTTTAAACCCATTTAACATAAGTGGTTTCTTAATGGTATGCTCAATACACTCATGTCATTTCCAGATCCAGATAATACGGAATCGAAATGGAGTGTATATGTAACTAGACAGAGGGTATATGTTAAACGTGCTAACGTATAAACTTGGTGACACATCGATAACTGAATTTAATGAGAGTAATAAAAAAAAGCAGAACTATTGATTTCTGGTTGTTCAGAGAAACCCATTAAAATTGAAATAAGAAAATTAAAAATTCTATCACATTTAACCCCTGTGCTGTTGGAAGTAGGACAAAGTCATTCATTTTAACAAACTTAATAACCTTTTGTCATAGACTAATTGATATATACATAATGAGTTAATAAAACACAACATAACGTTGTAAACCAAATGATATGACAACATATTAAATTTCGCCAACCTAATATCATACCACTTGTGTATGTATATGCTCATAAGGGATATGATAAAATTGACAATAAAAATAGTTGTTAATGATCATACCTTGTGATATTTTGACAGATTCGTTAAGTTGTAATTCACTTCAAGGTCTTCTGATATCTTCACGATTTTCTATTCGTTAAATCACATCAGTATGACTTTATATGAATAAGTTAACGTTTACAAGCTACACGTGTGATATTCATGCTGTAAACTTCCGGCGTGCATCATCATCTTCCCTCAACACAGGACATTACTCTCTACATCTCAATACACGTTAATCAAAGTGACACATACTGTAACAAAGTCGGGGATGGCGAACTCCTCCAGACATAGACTGTAACAAAGCAAAGGATGGCGACCTCCTCCAGACATAGACTGTAACAAAGTCGGGGATGGCGACCTCCTCCAGACATAGACTGTAACAAAGTAAAGGATGGCGACCTCCTCCAGACATAGACTGTAACAAAGTCGGGGATGGCGACCTGCTCCAGACATAGACTGTAACAAAGTAAAGGATGGCGACCTCCTCCAGACATAGACTGTAACAAAGTCGGGGATGGCGACCTGCTCCAGACATAGACTGTAACAAAGTAAAGGATGGCGACCTCCTCCAGACATAGACTGTAACAAAGTCGGGGATGGCGACCTCCTCCAGACATAGACTATAACAAAGTAAAGGATGGCGACCTTCTCCAGACATAGACTGTAACAAAGTTAAGGATGGCGACTTCCTCCAGACATAGACTGTAACAAAGTCGGGGATGGCGCCCTCTGCCAGACATAGACTATAACAAAATCGGGGATGGCGACCTCCTCCAGAAATAGACTATACCAAAGTAAAGGATGGCGACTTCCTCCAGACATAGACTATAACAAAGTCGGGGATGGCGACTTCCTCCATACATCGACTGTAACAAAGTCGGGGATGGCGAACTCCTCCAGACATAGACTATAACAAAGTCGGGGATGGCGACCTCCTCCAGACATAGACTATAACAAAGTCGGGGATGGCGACCTGCTCCAGACATAGACTATAACAAAGTCGGGGATGGCGACCTTCTCCAGACATAGACTGTAACAAAGTCGGGGATGGCGAGCTCCTCCAGACATAGACTATAACAAAGTCGGGGATGGCGACCTCTTCCAGAGATAGACTATAACAAAGTCAGGGATGGCGAACTCCTCCAGAAATAGACTATAACAAAGTCGGGGATGGCGACTTCCTCCATACATCGACTGTAACAAAGTCGGGGATGGCGACCTCCTCCAGACATAGACTATAACAAAGTAAAGGATGGCGACCTCCTCCAGACTTACACTGTAACAAAGTCGGGGATGGCGAACTCTTCCAGACATATACTATAACAAAGTCGGGGATGACGACTTCTCTAGACATAGACTATAATGAAGTCGGGGATGGCGACTTCCTCCAGACATAGACTGTAACAAAGTCGGGGATGGCGACCTCCTCCAGACACAGACTATAACAAAGTCGGGGATGACGACCTCCTCCAGACATAGACTATAACAAAGTCGGGGATGCCGACTTCCTCCAGACATAGACTATAACAAAGTCGGGGATGCCGACTTCCTCCAGACATAGACTATAACAAAGTCGGGGATGGCGACTTCCTCCAGACATAGACTGTAACGAAGTCAGAGATGACAACCTCCTCCAGACATAGACTATAACAAAGTCGGGGATGGCGACCTCCTCCAGACATAGACCGTAACAAAGTCGGGGATAGCGACTTCCTCCAGACATAGACTGTATCAAAGTAAAGGATGGCGACCTCCTCCAGACATAGACTGTAACAAAGTCGGGGATGGCGACCTGCTCCAGACATAGACTGTATCAAAGTCGGGTATGGCGACCTCCTCCAGACATAGACTGTAACAAAGTCGGGGATGACGACCTCCTCCAGACATAGACTGTAACAAAGTCGGGGATGGCGACTTCCTCCATACATAGACTGTAACAAAGTCGGGGATGAAGACCTCCTCCAGACATAGACTTTAACAAAGTCGGGGATGGCGACTTCCTCCAGACATAGACTGTAACGAAGTCGGGGATGACGACCTCCTCCAGACATAGACTATAACAAAGTCGGGGATGGCGACTTCCTCCAGACATAGACTGTATCAAAGTAAAGGATGGCGACCTCCTTCAGACATAGACTGTAACAAAGTCGGGGATGGCGACCTGCTCCAGACATAGACTGTAACAAAGTCGGGGATAGCGACTTCCTCCAGACATAGACTGTATCAAACTAAAGGATGGCGACCTCCTCCAGACATAGACTGTAACAAAGTCGGGGATGGTGACCTGCTCCAGACATAGACTGTAACAAAGTCGGGGATGGCGAACTCCTCCAGACATAGACTGTATCAAAGTCGGGGATGGCGACTTCCTCCAGACATGGATTATTATCAAAGTTTTTTTTTAATATTTTTACATAACTTATTTTTATTTTTTGTTATTATTGCCCTATGAAGTGATAATAATTTCATCTTAAAACTGAACATTCAGAAAAAAATATAACTATCAACAATTATTGTTTAAACATCTTGTTACCGTATCTTTTAACAGAATGACATCAGCCGACAAGAGAACAGGGATTGCCTCCCTTTAATCCTGAAGCATTTCTTTGAAAGGAAACCATTCGTGCTATTTCACCATTCTCCTGAAGTGTAATTATGTACAGCAACAGTCAGTTTGGTTACGCTACGAAATACAAGGAAAGTTGTAGTTTTTCATAGTGTACCCTTACTGCATTAGGCCTAAAAATACCAAAGATGTCAGCTTTTATAATTAGTAAGTCATTTAACGACACCATATAGCCGTCAACAGCCTACTTTTTTATAAGTGTTTTACAATATGAACAATGAAATATAACACGGCCTTTTAAATTTTGATTCCCCCCAAAAAAATCTCGCATTGATCTACATGTGCCTGGTACATATTGTTATGGTTCGATTCGATCGACATACACATGTACCGCACCGTAGTAACAAGTCATTTTCTTCCGGGTTGTCTGTTAAAAAGGCGCATGATAGAACAATTAATCAAATGTGTACATGTCAGATAACCGAGAGGAAAATAAAGTGTGACTAGTGTGTACAAGGAGCCGTTTCCTTGTTGCAAACATAAACGGCGCGCATATCAGTGAACATGATCTTGTTTATGTTTACGTTTACGAGATAGTACATCACAACACTGACAGGATTACCGATTTCACAACACAATTACTGCATGCAAGGCCATTCATTATGAGGGCTGATTTGACACAACTGGGAATATTTATTTAATCGTACACAACATTCTATACATAGTAATTCCATTGTGAGCCATGCTAGAATGAAATTAACGCTGGGCTTTGCTTCTATCAGTGAAAACGAATAGTCTGTCTGGACGATGATTTCCATGTCTCCACTCAAATTTGAAAGTGATGATAGAAACAATAAATCGATATTCAGAAAGGG